CAGCTTCAAGGCAAGAAGTCCAGCAAGACAAAGAAACAAAGCAGCAATAAGACAAGAAGTTCAGCAAAATCCAAATGTTGGCAATGGCACACAAAACTCCATGAATTCAGCGCTTGTTCCGATAAATGCCCCTCCCTATAGCATCTCCTTAACTTTGTCCCCAGGTATGCCTTGTGAAGGGGGGGGGAGTCTCCTCCTGAGTCGTCAGGTTGGCCTACGCTGCTCCCACCTGCTCCCTAGCCTCCGTGCTCGGGGATCAGAAAGGGGCAGTCCTTGCTCGTTGCCTGAGCTCCGTCACTCCTTATCTCCACTGCCTGGCCTCTCTTCCCTGCTCTCTCAATCATCCTGTCTCCGTTCTTCTTTGCTGGCTATCTGTCCCAGGCCCGAGGGACCTGGGGCTGCCTCGTTCTGCTCCTCCCCATGTTCCTCTGGAGCCAACAACACCGCCCCCCTCAACCTCCGTCGGCCCCAGCTCTGGCTCGCCTTCCTCTGCAGACTCAGGCTCCGACCGGGCCATGATACATTCATTTAGTGACCATTTCAAGTTCCAACAGCATTTTTAAAAAAATGACTTACGACCAATCTCTGCATTTACAACCACCTTGGTATCCCCAGGGTCATGTGATCAAAAATCGGGCATTTGGCACCCAGCATGTATTTATGACAGTTGCAGTGTCCCAGGGTCATGTGATCACCATTTGTGACCTTCCTAACTGGCTTCTAACAAGCAAAGTCAATGCGGGTGTGTGTCTGTCTCGATTTGCTTAACTACCTCATGATTCATTTAACAATTGCAGTATGATTCACTTTACAACCGTGGCAAAAAAGATTACGACAATGGGCATATGACTCACTTAACAATCATCTTTTTTCGCAACAGAAACTCTGGCCAAATTGTAGTTGTAAGTCGAGGACTATCTCTAGGCCCAGGGTCCATCCAGCAGAACCCTGATTGTAATCATTGGCAGTGCTGCACTTTTTCCAATCTCCCTAGTGATGCTACAATTGAAGCTGACACCTCTGGTTGCAAAGCAACACTGTATCAGTAAGCCTACACAACAGCTTTATTAGAGCAAATTAATTCTGAGCACTATGTATATTCAATTAATACCACATGAAAGTTCATTACCATCACCATCTGATATAAAGTCACCACATCCCACAGAAAAAAATGTGCTTATTTCTCCGTCCTGTTTTATTTCTTAGAAGACATAACTCGAAATCAACACACTTGGAAACTCCAATTGAAATATGCTTCTAAAATTAAAAAAAAAAAAACCTCAACAAATCCTATGATTAAACATGGCATTCCTCACAGAAACTATAAATGGCTGAACATGGAAAGAAATATTTCTCATTTTGAGTTTCAAAACAGGATAAAGGCGCCATCTGCTGGAGAGAAAAAAGGCAATGCCCACAAAATAATTTGTGGGTTTTACTACATTTCAGCTATAAATTTACAAGTTGTGATTTTAAAATGTGCTGTCTGCGTTCATTAATATAATCTCAGCGTCTTGGCAACTGACCACTTGTCCAAGAAAAGAACATGCAATTCTTTTTTCTTTTTTTTTTACAGAACAGCAGCATTCAAAAAACATCTAGAATGGTTTGGTTGTTCCCTTTTCATGAGAATAATAGAGAACTAGCTGTACCATGTCTTCCACATATATGAAAGGGTACATCTTAATCCAATCTTTCTAGATACACATTCTCTACAAATAAGACCAGTAGATTAATAGGATCTCTTCTAGGTCTTTCAAATCAATAAGCATTCTTTGTCATTTAAAATTTAAGCTCCAGGATTTTAAAAGAAATTATTTCATAAAATCAATGCAACAAACTATAATCAGCAAACGCAGATTTCAATGCAGTGCTAGGGACATTAAAAAAGAAAATCTATGTTCTTTGTCATATTTGAATGCCAATAATCAAGTTATTACTTGACCTTGAATTTTTTCCATAAAGAAACTGAGAATATTCCCCCAGACTTCCTATGAGAAAAAAATTAATAACTAAATAAGAGCTTCTGTATTTGTTTCAAGACAAGAACTCCTTGAACAAGACACATGTTATTAGAAAAAAGTTTCATGGTAACCATTCATATATTCAGCTTCATGGCACTGCCAAAGGTAACAGAACTGACATCAACTCTTCACAATTTCTGTCAATAGAAAGCAACATACAAATTGGACCCTTCCGGTTTGCTAGCTTTCGGCGGCGGCAGGGATTTGCCACTGTGCGATCCCTGCTGCGTTCACTGCCAAGGTTCCCCCGATCCATTTGGATCTGGGGGATACAGCTGCCCTGTAGAGGCAGCGGAAGATAGGGGGGATCCGGCAAGGGGTTTGGGGGTACCGCAAACCCCCTCCCCAGCCGGCTAAACTCCCTTTTCCCGAGGCGGAGGAACGGCGGTCAGCAATGGCCACCACGAAGAAAGCTGCAGCCGGGTAAGCAAGAGCAGGAGGGAGAGAGCTGAAAGAGAAGTGAAAGTTGCTTCTGGCTGGGACAAGACGGGAGAAAGTTATTTGGAACCTTGAAAGCTGTTAAGTATCTATTGTTCCTTGCGAGAGTTACAAGCTGCGAATACCCTAAAGGGAAAAGTTTTTTTTTCTTTATTCGACTCTCCTTCCTAAAGTGACACCGGAAAAAAAATCTTTTTGGCTGTGAGTGGGAAGGGAGAGTGAAAAAAATCTGAGCAAAATTTGAAATAAGGAGAAGATTGCCTAGAATTGCAAAGAGTTTAAAAACTTCCAAAAAATATATTTGAAAAGGATTTGTGATTACTTTAACCCCAGAAAGAGAAAGTCAAGAAGAAGAAGGTATCTAAAAGAAACAGTCTGTTTGGATTGTTTGGTGATTTTGGAACCTTTGGAAATTATTTCTGATTAAATCATCTGGGTGGTTGTTTGGAAAAACTTTTTCTCTACACAATGGCATCATCTATGGGTGAATTGGAACTTATATATCAAAAATTTGAAAGAGAAAAACAAGGAGGTGAAGATGGACTTGGCACTATTTTCCAATACTTAGAAATGGCGATTTATATTTATGTGAAGCAGAATGAGGATGATGGGGATAAAGAAGAAGGAGAAGCCATCTTTGATGAGAAAAGGACTTTGATTGGAGAAGGGAAAAAGCGGAGGTCTTTAAGATCTGGAAAAACAGCCCAAAAAGAGAAGAATAAGGTGGAAAAGGGACATTATGTTAAGAAACAACAGAAAGGGGGAAAGCAGAATAAAAGGGAGGTGGGGAGACAAGGGGTTAAAGAGGACAAGGAGAAGAAGAAGCAAGGGAGAAAGGATGGTGGGGAGCAAGATATTAAGAAGCAAAAGTTTTTCAGAGATAATGGATAAGTCTTATTGTTAATGGGATTCTAGAAGGTACATAAGATTGCATTTTTATATCTGTATTTAGAAGTAATTATAGAAAATTAGAAATAATATGTAGTTTAAAAGGTGATAAAATATTTAACATAAACAAGTGAAATTTTTGTTAAGAAAAAGGGAGTATTGTAATGAAATATGATCCAAGATTATGATGTGGGGGGGGTAATAATCGTGGAAAGCATAAGTGTTCCCACAAAGGCATGACATTCAATTGAAATGGATAAAATGTTTAAGATATAAATGATTGTTAATATTAATAATTAGAAGATGGTATATTAGCAAACCTTTTGTGAAATGAGATTTGAAGTAGAAGAAGGAGGAACATTTCAATGAAATATTGAGCTATAATATGTGATGTGGGGGGGGGAATAATTTTGAAAAATAGGGCTCTCATAAAAGCATGTGATTTAATTGAAAAGTAATGAGTTAAATATCTAAGATATGAATGAATATCAATATTAATGAATAGATTTGTATTATTTTTGATAATATAGTATAATTTTAGAATGTACCAGACAGAATACCAATGTAGGTTATGTATTTTATATTAAGTACTATAAATATAGAGGAAAAAGACAAAGGCATCATACTCCATATAGTGTATAGGAGAAGTACTTCTTCTTTTTTTTAAAAGAAGAAAAATAAATGATTGGCTGGAATAGAACAGACAAAGAATAATAAATATTACGATATGAATTGAGAGGAGATAAAAAAATAAAAATGAAATAAAATTGAGAAAATTTAAAGGAGAGGAGAAGTTATATAGAAAATTGAAAATGTTAAGAAGATATGAAATGGTATGTAAAATGAATATGAAATTGAACTTGTGTCTGTACCAAGAGTTTTAACCCGGGACTAAGCAACTTTCAGAAAAGAGATTTTTTATACTTTTATGTTTTGTGTTTATGTGTATTTATGTATTGTTTGTCTTGAAAAATAAAACTTGTTTAAAAAAAAAAGAAAGAAAGCAACATACAAATTGATCTTTCCAGTAAAAAAAGAACACATACAATACATTTTTATCATTTTGACATAACATTTATTTAAGTATTGAAGTATTAATTATATTAATTAGTATAATTCGTATCAAGTATTTTATCTATAAAAGTATATTGCTAAGCTATACAGAGGCAAACTGGAAAACAAACCAATGACCATGAATACAGAATGATGAAGAAAAATGAATCAAAATATACAATACAAAGATTACTGAATAACTAAAAGGAGCTCCACATGCAGGAAAGAATGCTGAAACAGTCATAAGTGGCATATTACATGATAAAACACAAAACATTTAATTTGGATTCCTGTTTATTTAATTCCATCCCCATTTCTCTCTGTTTTATTTGCTGATGAAAGTCTAATAAAATTTATCTATACATGATATTTTAGGAGAAAATAACTGAAAATGTATGCAATCTTTCACGATTGAATTGGATGTATCTTACTTGTCCTCAGCATTTATTAAAGCTTTAAATTAGGCCATAAAACATAAAAAAGGAAACTCAAATTTCATTTAGCATGAAAAATTCAGATAGAAAACTTTTCCTATATCAGTAGCTAAATACAATTCCCATGTTAAAAAAAACATTATAGGACAAAGTGGTCACTTACTCTGTATGGCCCTGAAAGACGTTCACAGAGTGAATAGAAGGGTCTCTGAAATCCCATAGACGGAAAGTTGTGTCACGCGATGAAGTTACCACAAGGCGCTGGGTGGGGTGAGTGCAACAGTGTGTAAGTTCTTGATCATGTCCTAAAACCACAAAGCAAAATATTATGAACTTTGAAAAGGCCTGACCTACTCACAAAAATTTGGGATGAAGAACATCAGAGAAACAATTATGTTCCGAAGGTTACCAAAATGGTCTTGGCAAAACAAGTTTGCCCAAACCAGATTAAAATTCTGTTCCAATATTACTTGTTCCCTATTGGAATATTGTGGATTAAATTCCACATTTCATCAATACAGACATTTTTAAAATGTAAGGGAACAAACTTCTGTCACTTTTGTATTGATGTGACTTATGAACATGATGGATATTATGTAAAGCAAATTTTGAGTATCTACCGTATTTATCGGCGTATAACACGCACAGGCGTATAACACGCATCTTCATTTTAAGAGGGAAATTTCAGGAAAAAAAATTAAATTTCTAAATAAAAACTTTGAAGCAAAATAAGGGTAGCTCAGAACTTTTTTTTTATTAATATTATTACCACTTATAAGGTAAATCAGTGGTCCCCAACCTTTTTTGTACCAGGGACCGGTTTCAAGCAGAAAATTTTTGCAAGGACCGGGGGGGGGG